GCCAGAACTTTCAAACTTGCATGACGTGTTTCATGTGTCGCAACTTCGGAAGTATGTATCAGATCCGTCTCACGTGATTCAGAGAGATGATGTTCAAGTTAGAGAGAATCTAACTGTTGAGGCGATGCCATTGAGGATCGAGGATCGTAAGATGAAGCGACTCAGAGGAAAAGAGATACCTTTGGTGAGAGTGGCTTGGGGAGGTTCTGCAGGAGGCAGTGTGACCTGGGAATTGGAAAGCAGGATGCAGGAAGCGTATCCAAAATTGTTTCCATCAGGTATTTTCGAGGACGAAAATAATTAAAGTGGGGGAGAGTTGTAACGCCCATTTTCATTATTTGAGTTTTTCCGGTGTTATTTTTATTTATCGGCGTGCTTTGTGTGGAAGTGTTGAGAAATAAGGAACATAATATTAATATCATATAATTGATAATGATAATAATTAATATTTAATATTAATATTGATATTATTATTATTATTATTATTATTATTATTATTATTATTATTATTATTATTATTATTATTATTATTATTATTAATATTAATGTTATGAAGTTTTATATTAATTTTGGATTAAAAGAAAATGAGGATTTTATTAATTGGGATTATTTGGATTATAAGGAGAATTTGGGATTAAGGGCAATAGGGGAATATTGGAAACGGAAAGAAGAAAGAAACACGATCGTGAGAGGGAGAAAAATATGGTAGAAGTGAAAAAGAGAAGAACACGATCAAGAGAGTGAGAGCTCGATCAAGCAAGAGGAAGCTAGGTTGTGGATTCTTGAAGTTTCTTCGATCAAAGCTGCATTTGAGGTAAGGGGGGGGGGGGAGAATTGGTTAAAATTCGGTATTGCATGAATTCTAGGTAGAAGGGGTTTTCCCTAACCCCATAGATGTTGATGAACTGATTGTTATGATGTTGTGAATTCTGAGTTGCTGCTGGTATGATTGAATCATTGCATGTGTTTGTTTGGGTGATTTGGAGTTTTCGGTAGTTTACCGTTTTTAAGCCGAAATTGATCAATTGAGTAGAACTGAGGTTTTATCGGGTGAAATCGACAATGGATTCTATAGTTAAGTCGTAGAATGTTGGTTAGTTGTGTTAGAAGTTGGTTTGCACATAATCGGGCAAATTCAGAGAGAGTTGCTGTTTCTGCACAGTGGGATTTTTTTCCTGAAATCGCAGGTATTCGCGAGCATTCGGGGCGAATGAGGGGGCGAGCCTTCGCTAGGCTTCGCCAGGAAAACTGGGCAGCGAGTGCTGCCAGTAGCCACTGTCTGGCTTCGCCAGGGGTTTCGCCGGGCGAGCTCCAGCGAGCATTCACTGCGGGGCTTCGTCAGACGAATGTGCCAGCGAGCTCGACAGCAGTTTGCATTTTTGCTGCTGTTCTGTTCGGTTTTCTTGTGTTGTTGGACCCTTGCTGGTCATGTTTTGATTACGAGATTTTTGGTGAGCTATGGTGAGTGTATGTATGGTGTTGGAATATAATTTCTGTGATATTCGTTTGATTAGAATATTTCGATTGGTGTATGATATGATACATGTATGTAGTGATGTGTGGAATATATATATGTGTGTGTATGTGTGTGTGTGTGTGTGTGTGTGTGTGTGTGTGTGTGTGTGTGTGTGATGGATCAGTAGGATCGTGTGCACCGTGTGTGCTTGTGTTTGCTGCGTGCATTGGTGTCTGCATAACATGTTAACGGGATTGAATCGTTGCTCAGGTGGGGCGTATGCGATTCACCCGTGCTCCAAATAGGGAGCGTGGACGGGATTTGAATCATTGCTCAAATGGGGCGTATGTGATTCACTTGTGCTCCAAATGGGGAGCGTTGGTAGGGATAGATCGTTGCTCGGATGGAGTGTATGCGATCTATCCTGAGTTTGATTATATGGTCTCAGGAGGAGCGTGGTAGGGATAGATCGTTGCTCAGATGGAGTGTATGCGATCTATCCTGAGTTTGAGTCGGTACCACATATCATTGTGTCGAGTTGCATATGTTGCATTGTTTGTGTGTTGTGGCGGTGTGAGACAGTAGGTCCGGATTGATGTATGATGAATGATGTTTATGTGTTGTCTGCCTTTTAATAATGTACATTATTACCGTTATATTTTTTATCGTGATTTCTCACCCCTTGTTGTTGTTGTGGTCTGTGCTTCTTCGGAAGTACAGACAATCCAGGTGCGTAGCTAGCTTGGATTGTGGCGAGTCGAGTCGTAGGGATGCTCTGATACGTAACACGGGGCTTTTGGGAGTTATTTATCTGTCTGATGATTTTGTTTGACTCCGTGTCGTATCATGTTCTGTTGAATCTTTGGATATGTATATGTTTGTATATTTTGGGCGGATGGCCGAATTGATGTAGATGATGTTTATGTATATATTTATATGACAAATTTTCCCGCTGCATTTTGTTGAAAATTATTTAAAGTAGTGTTTTGTGGAAATTTTTGGTGAAAAGTGACATTCCATTTTGGGAAGAACTCTGATAATTGCTTGATTTAATTGTTTTATTTTAATTTTGGGAAACGGGGTGTTACACAAAGCGTCTTCGATAATATCCTTGAGAAAATTAGTTGCTGAAGTCGGACGTGCAAAATGTCATCGACAACTCCCCTAAATTCTAAAGGCCCGCAAGGTGTTGTGAGGAATATATTGTTGTAGTCAGACATGCAAAACATCTCCGACAACACCCCTGAACTTTGAAGGCACGCTCGACACTGAGTGGATTTAATTGCTTTGGTCGGACGTGCGAAACATCTCTGACATCACCATTGGAATCTTTAGGCGCGCAAGGTATTAATAGAATTTAATTGCTTTAATAAGACGTGCAAAGTGTCTCCGACAGCATCCCTAAAATCTTTAAGTCAAATGTCAACTACATTGGTTGTACTACAATTTACTATGACGTGCATCCACACTTTAATGCTTAAATAGGAAGATCAAATTACACTAATATATCACACTAGTAGTCACACTCATTTAAAACCTTTGAAATTATTTTAATCTAATGATTGGAAATTACTGATTCGTGACTCACGATTCTTACTTAAAATAGTTTCCTTCTATTTTAGATAATAAATAATTTTTATTTTATTAAAACATAATTTCTTCTTTCTTATAAAATTAAATAGATATCTCTCACTTTTTTCTAACAATTAAATAGTTGTTCATTTAAAAAAATGATTCTAATATTTCTTTAAAAAATCAAGATTGTAAATAAAAAATAATTTCTTATTATTAAAAAAAACACTATTTATTCTCTTTAAATAAAAATCATATTTTATTATTTAAATAAATAATGAAATTGTTTCAATTTTAAGTGGAATACAAAATAATGCTCAAAATGTTTATAAAAAAATTAATAATGAATAATGAGCACATAAAAATGTAGTTGAGAATAAAAATATCAAAAAATAATGTTTAAAACCTTAATTTTGAAATAAAATTAAAATAAATTACTTTATTTTACATTAATAAATAAAATAAACCTATACTTATTTGAGTTTTGGAATAAATTTTGTATGCTTACAAGAATTTTTTATTTAGAATTAAGTTAATAATTTGTTTTTCTTATCCGAAATCCAATAATAGCATCAAGGAGGAGGAAGAGGTCCACGCCGTGGACACTATACGTACGATACGACGTACTTGTAACAGAAATTTAAACGGATTCGGATCTGTTTCATCACATTTGAATAACTCATCCTCCCCCGACAACCTCTTCTCTCACCCTTCTCCTAAATCTTTCTTTAATCCACCCCTAATCCTCCACTTCCAAATTATCAATTAATTAATCATTTTAAACACATTTAGCGACTGACAAATACGTGGGCGAGATTATTATATTTAAAATTTTAAACAAAACTAATTCAAAACGCAAACATTGAGGAGTTTTATACTTTTATTTAAAAAAATAAATAAAATATTTAAACGAATTATTATTATAACTTGAATGAACAGCATAAAGGAAGATGACAGGAAAGTGGCGTAGCCTTGGAGATTGTGAGATGTGATTTAGTGAAGTAACCGGCTCCGTACATGATTTTTTTTGAAAGAGGAATCGATAAAACCGACACGTGTCAGTTAGGTAGAAGAGGCCGTTATAAGATGATATGGTGGTGGGGGTGGCAGGTATAGAATACAGGCTGGACTGACAGAAAAGCAGTAATGATTCGCTCTCCGATTCGGCGACCGATCTTGTCGTTTTGTGCCACATCAGCCTAACTATGGGTCCCAATTCCCAAGAAAAAGACGAAACTTAAAAATCCCACACGAAATGCTTATGCTCTACAGCCTGGAGTCCTCAGTCAAACTCAAAACCAAAGCAGAAAGAAGCAACCTCACCCAACCCCAAACCAAACCAACCGTTATCATCGTTATCTTATTTTTTTTTTTCTCCTTTCCGTTTTTTGTACTCTCTCTTTTTCTTTATATCAAATTTAATTCCTATTTTTAACGTCTAATTTCTGGTTCTAAGCGTTTTAATTATTTCTCTGAAACTGTTTAATTTACTCCGTTTACTCCCATCTTCTCTTCACTACACGTGAATTGCACTTCCCTGATTAAAAGACGTGGAGCGTCCCGTGTGTGATACACGCGCTTTTGGTTTGGGAATAATAAAATCGGTTTTATTGTCAATTTGGAAGGATAAAAAAGGAAAAAGAAAAAAGGTGACTTGTGTTATTGGGAGCAGCTGAGAAGTGACGCGTGTCTAATTACAGCTGTATCCCAAATCCCAAGCTAACCGCTTCCCTGCTAGAGGCGGTACCGATTGCCCATAACGCTCGCTGACAACTCTAAAACCTAACCTACCCAACCGGTTTCCTTTTACCCTTTTTCTCTCAAATATAAACCGCCTCACCCTCCTCAAACCTACTCAATGCTCCTTCTCCTCTTTTCCTCTTCTTTATCTTTCACCTCCACCAATTCAAGTGTTAATTACATTTATGTCCCTGTGAAAACCTTAGCACCAAACCTATAGACCAAAAAAAAGATGAACACAGCAATAACTAGAAAAGAAATGGATCGGATCAAAGGTCCATGGAGTCCTGAAGAAGACGAAGCTCTTCAAAAGCTCGTTGAGAAGCACGGGCCGAGAAACTGGTCGATAATCAGCAAATCGATTCCTGGCCGGTCTGGGAAATCCTGCAGGTTACGTTGGTGTAATCAGCTTTCTCCTCAGGTGGAGCATCGGGCTTTCACGGCGGAAGAGGATGATACTATAATCAGAGCCCATGCCCGATTCGGAAACAAATGGGCTACCATAGCTCGTCTTCTCTCGGGTCGAACCGACAACGCTATTAAAAACCACTGGAACTCTACTTTGAAACGTAAGTGTTCTTCTATTATGATCGATGAATCTCCACCGTTGAAAAGATCTGTAAGTGCTGGTGCTGCTATACCTGTTTCTACTGGGATTTACAAAAACCCTCCCAGTCCGGGGAGTCCTTCTGGATCCGATGTGAGCGAGTCCAGTGTACCTATCGTGAACTCTTCTCATATTTACCGTCCTGTGCCTACAAGAACCGTCGCGGCTCTACCTCTCGTAGAAACGAAAACGACGTCGTCTTCCAAATCCAATGATCCTCCAACTTCACTTTCGTTATCACTTCCTGGTATAGACTCTTCTTCTGAAGATTCAAATCGTGTAACAGAGCCTGTTACCACTGCACCTCCACCGCCTCCTCCTCCACCGCCATGTGCGATTCCTTTGGTTCCGATAATGAATGCGCCGATTCCGATGGCGGTTCCGATGCAGGCGCAGAGAGGATCGGGTGTTCCGTTCAATTTTAGCGCGGAATTATTGACAGTGATGCAGGAAATGATAAGGACGGAGGTGAGAAGTTACATGGCAGGATTGGAGCAGCAGAATGGGATGTGTATTACTGATGACGGATATAGGAATGCATCGGTGAAGCGTATGGGAATTAGCAGGATCGATTCGTAAATATTATCAGAGAATGGAATGCAACAAGGGATGAATGAGCAAATTCAGAAAGTTATGAGAATAGTGTTTTTCAGATTGGAAAAAAGATGAACCCTTTTCGTTTTTCTCCTTTTTTAAAATAATTTTGATTAATGTACAAAGAGAAGAATGTTAGAGCGAGTGAATGAAATTCATTTCCAAGAAATGGAGGGAACGGAAGGGATAGAAAAAAAAATCTGAAATTCCTGCAGTCCTGAATTCCAGGCTTAGTTGGAATCTTCGAAAAAGAAAAAAAAAAAGTTTAAAATTAAAAAAAAATTGTTGTTATAATCTTTTATTTTTGCTTATGCAATGGTTAAATTTCATTTTCATTTCGTTTTGAATCTGGAAACAGTGTTTCACACGATGGAAGGACTTTTTAACAGAATTTGAAAGTAGTTAAGTTAGTTTAGTGGAGGGGACATTAGTTGGTGGGTGATGCTAGTTTTAGATATGTATGAAGTTTCTGTGTAGGGACCCGAAATAATACAGATCTAGTTTAATTAGTATTTTTATTCAACGATGAACTAAAATTTGTTCTTCTAATCCAATTATTATAAGCCTAATGTTTCTACAGAAAAAGTATTACTACTACGCGCCTAACGTTTCTACCAAACGAAAAATATGATAAGCCTAAATGTTTCAACAAAGGATGGTTCTGTAGAGCAGTCTTATCTCTTGTTCAGATAAGGCGGAATGGTTGAGTTGACGGAACAATGTATGGAACTGTTAGCGGAGAATTTTTCCTCGTGCACGAAATATTGACTTAAATAAATGGAAAGAATGTGTGTGTGTATGTTCACTTCGCAATACCAAGATGGTAAATGATAAAATGAAATAGAATAAAATTTATATTATTTTATTTTGCTCCTGTTCTATTTGATTTTAAATTATTCGAACAACAAAATATTATTTTATTTCATTAGGTAAAATATTTTGAATAGCCATCAAAGACAATCATTTTGTCTAAAAAATATCATTGATGATGTGTTACTCTTGTAAAACATCTAAGAAACTAGAATGATGAAGGAATTAAGAAATTTTGTATGATTTGAAAGTGAGGAATATATTAATTTCTACCGAGCGCAAATGTAGAAAGTTTTTTGCATTGTAAGATGGGTTAATCAATGTGGAACGCACATCAGGTTCTTAATGAAGTCGTTAAAAATGTGAATTGTCTTAAAGTTAACAAGTTAATAGAGGAATATGAGTTTTATTTTTTGTATGGAATCTGGTGAATCCATGGATTTTATGGAAATGTGTTCAAATAATCAACAAGTTAAAAAATTTAGGAAATATTTTACTTAATCAGGATTGTGCTAATATGTATAAAGGTTTATGTGTAGAGAATGACAATCTAAAATTACATTCATAAAAGAGTCGCAGGATCTAAAAATTTTGGATGATACTCTATTTGGAAAGCTTACCAAACACAAACTCGAGTTGAAAGACTCGAAACAATTGAAACAAATTTGAATAAGAAAAAAAAAACTAAAAAAGAGAGAGAAAAGAAGCATCTCCTTGAAAGCATTCACTTCCAAGGCTAAGGTAGAGGATGATGGTAACAATATGAGTGAAGATTCTACAAAAGAAGAAGAAATGAGCTTGTCTGTAAAACGCTATAAGTACATCAAGAGAAATGGTCTGAATCACTCGAATACAAATTTAGTGAAGTTAAGAAAATCTAACCCACCAAAAAAAAAGAAAAATAGTAAGAAAAATGAAAGGCAAGTGACCTGTTACGGATATTGTAAATTTGGACACTACAAAAGTGATCGTCCAAGATTAAGAAAGCACAAAGGAAAGCAATTGTTCTACGTCACAAAGTCAAAGGTTGTAGAGCTTATGTTGCTTTGAAAAGAAGATGAATAATCTTTCTCTTCCATCACAAGTTCAGATGAAGAAGTTGCAAATCTTTGTGTGATGACGTGACACAAGGAAAAGAACTTGGTGGTTAGTGTTTCCAAATCATATTATATACGTTCTTATAGTAACTTATCTAACATTTTTCATGAATTGTATTCTGAAGCCTTAAATGCCTTTAAGAAAATTTCTCATTAAAAGAAATATATTTTAAAATTTGAGAAAGAAGTCTTAAAACTTAACAGAATTTTAGAATCCTTGAAAGAGGAACATACATCTCCTGTAAATGATCAGTTAAATATCTCTAATACTTTAATAGAAAAGGTTGATATATTTGAGTATGATGCTTGTCTTGTTTCAAAACTTGAAATTGAAAATTTAAAACGACAATTAACATATCTCTCCAAGTCACCTAACATTAATTATATGAGTTCAGATGATAAAGGGAAGGATTTTAGAAAATATAATGAGAAAAACCCTATATCATTAGAAAGAGTATAAATAATCATTCTCCTAAAGTTGTTTGTTATCATTGAAGTGATAAGGGTCATATTAGACATCTATGTCACATTATGGAGCATAAAATTCCCTAGTGGTCTCATGACATGGGTCCCTAAAGGTCTCGATGCTAACCCACAAGGATCCAACATGAGTTGGGTACGTAAATTACCTTTTTATTCTCATGTAGCAATGTCTTACCGCCACAAAAAGAATTTGGTTTCTAGGTAGTGGTTGTTGAAAGCATATGATGGGAGACACGTTGATGTTTATCGATTTTTATCACAAAGAACATGATTATGTTACATAATTAGATAATAACAGGGGTAAGATCTTAGAAAAGATGTTGTGGTAATTTCCTCCACAACCACCATAGATGGTGTTCTTTTAGTCAATGGGCTTAAACAAAACCTCTTAAGCATTAGTTAGTTATGCGAAAAAGAGTATTTGGTCATTTTTTTATACCTTAAGATGCCTAATTGAATATAAAGTTGATAAGAAATTAATGTTTAAGGGTTTTAGGATTGATAATGTCTATATGCTGAGCTTTGATGATGTATCAAAAAGTGGTACCAAATGTTTAGCCACTCAGAATGAAGAATCCTGGCTGTGGCATATGCATTTGAGGTATGTTCACTTTGATTTGATCAATAAGAAAACTTCCAATGATCTAGTAGTTTTCCTACCTAACATAATATTTTCAAAATATAAGTTATGTGATGCATGCCTAATGGGAAAGCGAACAAGAGTTACTTAACCAAAATTTTTTTCTACAAACAAATCTCTCGAGTTTCTCCATCTAGGTTTTTTTGGCCCCTCAACGACCAAAAGAGTATGAAGAAATTACTATGACTTCGTTATATTAGATGACTTCACTAGATTTATTTGGACTCTATTCTTAGATCACAAGGAAAAAACTCTTAAAGCCTTCATTGTATTTTCCAAGCTTTTCCAAAACCAACTTAATTTGAAAATAATCACTCTAAGAAGTAATCATAGTGGTGAATTTGTTAAACATCACTTTGAAGACTTTTGCAAAAAAAAACTGCATGACCCACAAATTCTCATGTACACCATTCTAAATCAGAATTGTATAGCGTAAAAATTGTGTTTTAGAAGAACTAGCATGAACTATGATAAGTGAGGTAGATTTACATAATGGTCATTAGACCTTTCCTAGAGACTATCCCATATGAGTTACTTAAAGGTATAAAATTAAATATTTCTTATTTTCACGTTTTCAGCTGCAAATGTTTTATTTTAAAGATTGGCAAGGAAAAATTAGGTAAATTTGACACTAAAGATGATGAAGGTATTTTTCTTGGATACTCTTCATCAAGAAAAGCCTATAATTTTTTAGCAATAGAACTTCAGTTGTTCAAGTGTCAGTGCATATTACTTTTGATGAAACAAAACCCCAAGAGATGAGGAGAAGTAGTTCGTCTGGTTGTGATGTTCTAGGTATTATAACAAAAAAAAAACTTAGTCAAGGACGACACTCTAAACATAGATCATCCAAGGAACGAGAACCTTAAAGATGATGAAGAGGATATTGAACAAGAGGACGGTAAATAACAAAAATCAACAAAGAATCCTCAAGAATGGATTATTGTGAAGAATCACCTGTTAGATCATATTCTGGAAGACATTAAAAGTGATTGCAAGCACGCGTTCCCAAGTTAACAAATTTTGTAGTTATTCAGATTTCATCATACAGATTAAGCCAAAAGACATCATTATTGCTTTGACTTATAGAGGTTGGCTCCTTGTTATGCAAAAAAAAGCTCAATAAGTTTAAAAGAAACAGCATATGGGATCTTGCCCCACGTACTCAAAATAAAATAGCTCATTGGCACCAAATGGTTTTTTTTAGAAAAAATATGGATGATCATGGTATAATTACAAGAAATAAAGTAAGGCTAGTGTGAAAATGATACATTCAAGAGGAAGGAATAATTATGAGTTAACATATGCTCTCATAGATCGCCTTGAAGTGATTAAACTACTTATGAAATTCACATGTTGCCTATATTTTAAGTTGTATATGATGGATTTTATGTCTACCTTCCTTAATAGTTTTATACTAAGAAGTACATATATCTCAACCTCCCGGGTTTGTGGACCATGAAAATCTTAACTATGTTTTAAAACTAAAACGATCTCTCAATGGTTTCAAACAAGCTCCTAGAGCTTGGTATGAGGGCTTTAGTAGCTTCTTACTTAAGAAAGTATTTACTCATGGTACCATCGATACTACTTTGTTTATAAAGTGTAAATGGTCGTATATCCTTCTAGTTCATATTTATGTTGATGACATTATTTTGGTTCTACTAATGAAGTTTTGTGTAGTGATTTTTCTAGTACTATGCAGGGAGAATTTTAGATGTCTTTAACGGGAGAATTAAATTACTTCTAGAGCTTACAAATTAAGCAAATCGACACTGGACAATTTATGAGCCATACAAAATATTACTTGGAGCTTCTAAAAAATTAAGATATGAAAAATTTAAAGTCCATATCTACGCCAATGACTTCAAACTTTTTAATTGATAAAGATGTCCAATGATTGGAGATAAATATCACCAAGTATAGAGGTATAATAGGATCTCTGCTCTATTTAA